TAAAGGATTTTCAAAATAAAACATCCTCCAGACTCAAATATATAAAACGGAAATATTTAATTATTTCTTGCACGGCCCGGTACCAATTGGTCCACGGACCGGTACTGGTCCACGGACCGGGGGTTGCGGACCACTGGTCTGGTCTAGAGTGCATGAGGTTGACTGACAGCGCTAAGCCCCGCCTCCTGGCTCTGATTGGTTGTTTTTGGAGCATTTCGTCAATAGTAGCTCAGGAGATCTTCAGATTATCTCATAAACTGTTTCAACATGGAGACCGTTTTGATTATAAAAAAAACATTTCAAGACATGAAACAAAGAAAAACATCTCATTCTACCAGGACAGAAACATGTTGATATGTATAAAACAGGAAGTAGGAGCCACAGACAGGAAGTCGTCAGCAGCGGCTTCTTTCTCCAGTTTAATCCAGATTTTCTGGCTCTAGATTATAAAATAATCTGAACTCACGTCTTCGGTTCTCCTCAGCAGGTCCAAGTCAGAGTAAACGGGTAAACTGGTGACGACGGAACCAGAACACAGTTTGATGGTTCCCAGTAGAACAGGGCTGCCGGCGAACACAGCTGGAGCCTGAGACCTGCAGAGAGACTGGGTTACTAGAACCAGAACCAGAACCTGGACCGGAACCAGGACCGCCGTACAGAGAGTCCAAAAGAAGCACCTGATCCAGGCGATCAGCTCCATCAGGTCTGGGTCGTAGAACTCCTGCAGGTCGGCCAGCTCCGCCAGAACCCGCGGGTAGAACTGCAACGGCAAACATCCAGCGGTGCACCCAGCATTAGCATTAGCATGCTAACCCCTTTATATTTCCCATCAGCCACTGGAATTTCAGAATGACAGCCATTTTTCAAGATGGCCGGTGTTTTTTGAGCCTTTTAAGCCAGTCATTGCCATAAATGTTGCCCATTTTCATGACTTGGCTGAACTTCATGCCACATCATTTGTTTTCTGCTTTGGTCTTCTTCATTCAACTCATTTTTTATCTGTTAGCAGTTTAGCTTTAGCAAAGCAAAGATTCTTGTTTTACAGCTGATTTTAGTGCGTCCATATATGGCGGCCATCTTTTTGGCACCAAACAGATCCATCTACATCCATCTAGTTGGAAATTTCAGTCCCGAGAGCGAGGGCGGCCATCTTGAAAAAGCAAAACATTATCTGTAAATATTATTTCTATGGGTCCAAATGTTTGACAGCAAAAGAATTCATCTGTGATAAATGTTGGCCGTTGATGATCATCTTGGGAAATGGCCTCAGTGGGAGGATCTGGGTGGAACCGTTGGACCCGGATGGATCCAGAACCAGGCGGACCTTTCATGAACAGAACCTTCTCCCTGCAGGAACGTTTAATGAGTGCCGGATTCTCACCTCCCTCCACAAGCTGAAGCCGATGATGGTCGGAACCGCCGTGCTCAGGATCAGAGACTGGACAGAATACAACAGCAGAGGCTCAGAACCAGAACCAGACCGTTTATGGATCCTCAGCACGGCGCCGAGCGCCAACAGCTGAAACAGGAAGTCAGACTCACAGCTGTCCTCAGACGTTATTATGAAGAACTGAGTATAAAGAAACAACACAACTTTCTAAGAACCGTCTCACCATTTTAATAACATGTTGCCATGACAACAAAGAATAACCAATGTTTAGAGAAGCAAGTTTTCTAAAAGACTTCAGCTTCTTTACTTTCTCAAACTTTTGTTGCATTAAACAATTATATAAATGCATCACAGAGCCTGAATGCATAACAACGAAATATTTAATATTTACTGGAGTAAATATTTAATATTTACTCATCCTGATTGGTCGATACTGACCAACACGACCGGATGGACGGACTTCAGCCTGAGCCGCTTGAACAAGGTCATCCAGAGGTCAGGAGAACACACGCCGAACGCCGTGAACATGCAGACGGACGGCGTCCACAAATACTTCACCCTGCAGGACAGAAAGAGGACAGATGGACATCAGGAGACATCAGGACAGACAGAGACATCAGGACAGACAGAGACATCAGGACAGAGACATCAGGACAGACACATCAGGACAGAGACATCAGGACAGACAGAGACATCAGGACAGAGACATCAGGACAGACACATC